TGAATTGTCTACCGGTAACTCATATGGGTTTCACAGAGGTGTGGCAGTTGGTAGTTTAGGTTGTGCAGTCAGAGGACTCTTTCTTCCACTGTATTGAAGAAAATTATCTCAGTGTATTTGGATAGCCCATTCCATGATGTGATCTAATTCTGTGATGGAATGCCCTTGTTTGATAAAGGCGATTTTCAATGAGTTAAAGCAGGTATCATGAGACTGTCTCCTCAGAGAATATTCTCTGATATCTGAATGCCTGGCTGTAGATAACAAATTTCTTGGTGTATGTGACAGGGCGTTTGCCCTGCATTGGCCCTTTAAGGGCAAAACCCCAGACCTCAGTGAGGGCTGAGAGTGAACCCCCGCTGAGGCAGCTCTGCTAATGAGGGCTCAGCTGGGGGCCATATAAAGAAGGACTCCTGGAGGGAGAGGGGGAACTGAGTGCTGCTTTAGACAGAGAGCAGTAGGGACCTGATTGTCAGGGAAGCAGGAAGCTTCTTGGAGATACAGCAGTGCTGGAGAAGGAAGGCAGGGCTGGGGAGCCTCTGGCCAACCAAGCCCCCAGGCTGCGGGGCCTGAGGCAAGACCTGAAGCTGCTGGGGCTGCCATGGTAGGCAGGGGCAGCAGGTGCATGCCCCTTTGCTGGTGGTGAGTGGCCATCACAGACTACAGTTTGCACCTGAGGCAGGGGCTAGATGAAGACTGACAGTGGGTCACTGGCAAGGTGGGTATGGGGGAACTGGGTGTTCCCTGGGAGAAGAACTGGGGGGGCCTTTGGGGAGGAGAGGATCCTGGAGTGCACAGTGGAGTAAACACCACCACTCCTGGAAGGGGGGCATAGAGAGACTGGAGTGGGCGCTGTTGGAGGGCAGCATCCTGAAGAGGTGAAAGAGAAACATGGGGACACACTACCTACAGGGAGGTGTTCAGCCAAACAAGCTAATTCCTAGGACTGCTGGCTGTAGGCACGATGGTGGTGAGTCTGCCCTGGGATAGTGTGGTTGGGGGGACTTAAGCATGGTGATCCATGGGTTCAAGGTTATTGGAAAAATCTGTGATAGCCGTGCCATGTTCTGTGGCCTGCAGTAAAATCTTCTGCACCCATGGCAGCACTGGAGTAGCAGTTCACTTTGCCCTGACTTTTTTTTGCTGAATTATTATCCATTTTGGGGGAGGGCAGTAGTGAGCTGTGTTCCCTCTAAGCTGTGTGGTTGGTTGGCCACCCAGGAGAGAGTCATGTGCCACACAGTTGGTTAGCAGATCAGCATATGCTCAAGTTAGGGGTGTAACCTCTGTTAAACTGATTAAAGGGGAGGACAGACAGAGGGAGGGGCCTGCTCCAGGAGGGCAGGCAGTGGGGCCCAGCTGGAGCAGCCCCTGTTCTCAGTGCCCCCTCCCCCTCCATGGGGCTGGAACAGTTTCCCACCCATGTAGGAAGCTGCTCCAGCCCCCACTGGTTAACCTTAACCAGTAAGCCTAACCTGTTAAGGATGAGGATTACCAGTTAACCAGCTAAACATTCATATCCCAAGTTAGGTGCCTCTGCTCCCAGTGCTTTGCAGCCACGGTCCTCCTTCGGGGTGTGTGTGTGTGTGTGTTCACATTCCCTGAAACAAAATACAGGACTATGTAGCACTTTAAAGACTAACAAGATGGTTTATTACCAAAGGATATATATATATGGTTGTGACTATTTTCTTCCATTATTTGATCTGAGGAAGTGGGTCTGGCCCACGAAAGCTCATCATCTAATAAACCATCTTGTTAGTCTTTAAAGTGCTACATAGTCCTGTATTTTGTTTCAGCTACACCAGACTAACACGGCTACATCTCTATCACTATCTCACATTCCCTGTCTCTGTACTTCTTCTCTGCCAGAGGGGACAGCCCAGCTTAGGGACTGGAGCTGCTAAGGTCTAAAGACTCCAACCTTCAGATGGTGTGTGCGGCTTTCTTAAAAAGATAGTGCATGAGCTCCAAGACTTCCACAGCAGCCTATTTCTCTCTCTCTCTCTCTCCCTCTTTCCGTACCTCCATCTATAGAACAGGGTAGAGGAGACAGCATTCAGAACAGAAGATCTTTCTGCAAGTGCCTTAAAAAGACAGCACACAGCATCTCTGGGGAAACTTCCCCAGCAGCCAGCACACACAGGCCACATCTAGACTGCAGGCTTCTTTTGGAAGAAGCTTTTTGTGGAAGAGATCTTCTGCAAAAACTACTTGTGCAAGAGCGTGTCCACACTGCAAAAGTGCATCGAAAAAGTGATGTGCTTTTGCAGAAGAGTGTCCAGACTCATTGGATGCTCTCTCACATAAAAGGCCACCCGGAACCAGTTCAGGCAGGACTTCAGGTCACCAGTTGCTTCTGAGTGCTGGTGCCATAGCCTTGCAGAGTCTGATGTCTGGTGCCAGAGCCTTGCAGAGACATGTGCTTAAAGGGACCCCCCGGACAGCTGTTTTGCTGCTGTTGCTGCTGCGTGCTTGCTACCTCTTCGAGGGACAGCAAGGCTCTCTCACTGCCTGCTGTGGTTGCCCTGCTTTTGTGGATGCCACAGCTTTTTCCTTTGTGCCATGGAGTGGGAGCTGCCTCGGGCATGCGATGGCTCCCCACGGCCATGCTGCAGTTTTTGCAGCACTTTGTGCCAGCTGCCTTCCTGCTCCTGACTGAGCTTGACCCCAAGCTCATTCTGGGGACCCTCTCCTTGGGTGTGAGAGCTACTCTCTGGCAAAAACACCCCGCTGCGGAGAGGTGCTTTTGGAGGCTTGACATCAGTTTGGACTGGTGGGACCGGCTGGTGGAGCAGTGGGATGAACAGCAATGTCTCTAAAACTTCTGCATGCGGAAAGCCACCTTTTGGAGCTGTGTGCCTGGCTCCCCCACACCCTCTGGAGATGCAACACCTACCTGCGGCCCGTCATCACCCTGGAGAAGCAAGTCACAATCGCCCTCTGGAAGCTCACCACCCCTGATAGCTCCCCCCCCCCGACAGCTACCGGTCGGCGGGCAGCCAGTTTGGCATGGGGAAGTCCACCATCAGGGCCCTCCTCATGGAGGTAAGGCACTCTTGGGTTGCAATCCCTGCATTAGGGTGGGGAGTCCTGTTAAAGGGGGACCTTTGGGAAAGGGAGTTGGGGACTGTCGGGGTGGTGTGGGAAAGCCCTGTCTGAGGTGTTTTTCCCCCCCTCCCTGCATTAGGGTGGGGAGTCCTGTTAAAGGGGGACCTTTGGGAAAGGGAGTTGGGGACTGTCGGGGTGGTGTGGGAAAGCCCTGTCTGAGGTGTTGTGCCACCCCACCTTCATACAGCCCTGCTGCTGGGGGGGGGGGGGGGGGCCGCCTGGGGGGGGGGC